ATATTGTTTTATAGCTACATAATTCCTATTAATTAAGTTTTTTAAACAGCTGACGATTCTCTCAGCAAGCAGGAGTACCTGAGCAACCTTCTTAGCTTGACCGATTAAGAGTAAAAGTATCTCGGATGTCTTATCAAATAATCCAAAATGGAAAAGTTCTTTCCTGCACACTTCAACTGGCAAGTTCTTTCTTATGTTTTTAAAACTTTTCTGCTTCAACTCAGATGAAATAAACCACTCCGCATTTTAGTCTTGTTATTTATTTATTGAGCAAAACACTAGCGCATTTGCGCCACATTTCGGATATTTTACCCTCATCTAGAATAGTCTAGATGTTGAATTTTTGCTTGTGTTTCTTAAGAATTTCCCAAATTAGTCTTAAATTAATTTCAAAGTCGGAAAGCATGTTATTATTAATTTGGATATTGTGATTATCTATTATATTAACTGTTTTCTTTTAAATATTTGTTGAAATATTCTTGCAAATACTTAACATTTGTGTTTCTTATCTCCTTGTATAATACCACCAGAATCTAAACACATTGGAACTTCATTGTTTGGCTTTATTTTGTTTCTAATGTTTATATTAAACCTATTTTGACCATATGATATAATTTTTACTACAGATTCATTCCTGAATCTATCTAAATGCTTTTTAAGCTCGGAACAAATCGAATTATTGGTATTTAACCATGTCTCATTTATAATAATTATGTTATTATTGCAAAAAATATACAAAAAAATTGTCAAAAATAGAAAGTGACTCACTGTGTCACCACACAGAAATAAACAAAATTCCACAAAAAATATAAAAATATAAAAAATATTTAAAATCTTTAAATCTCGTCATCGACAATTATATCATTATGAATTTGTTTATTTGTTCTATTTGGACTGCTCGCAAATTCCTATGCGTGAGCTTTGAATGGCTTTGGATTTGGTAATTCCTTGATTGTAAGATCATTTACAACATATTTGTATTGACCACAATTTTGGTTAGCGGCATATGCCTTAGAACGTAAATTATATAAAATAGACAGTTCCGACATAGTCATGTCCCGTTTGGCACTGATAAATTTTGGAATATTTGGTAAGGTTATGAGTGCGTTACGGTACATTTACAAAAAAATATTACGTGCTTTAACAGTTCGAAAAGGTATTTTAATTATTCGTGCTTTCGTATTTGATCACTTTTCTGCCTTGGGTGTCGATGAATTTCTTCTATTAAATCTTTTTTAAACCACATTTCTCCACTATTGATTTTATAACTTCTTTTTCATTATTTGCTTCTGGTAGTTTCTCCAACACTGCCTTTTTCGATTTTTCTTCAATAATTTCTCTATCTAACATGGCAGCATTTACATGTCGAATAATAAGGTCGGGTGGACAGCCCCATGGCAAATAGCATTTGTTGCTGTGGCATTGTTGCCTAAAGACCTGATCAAATTTGAGCTTAACCGATGCATAGAAAGGTCTTCAGCCTTAAGTCTTGTCAAATACCTCTAATGGAAAGGTCATTGCCGGCCTTTCCTCTGTTATCTTTAAACTCTTAAAACTTATGTTAGCAATAATAAAACTTGCGCATTCCACGATTCATGCCCTTATCTGCTTCTTCCTCTCCTCCCTTTCTTCCCCACTCTCTCCATTTTAATCAATTTTCTAATTTCGAAAATCAATTTAATCAAGTCTTGCCTATTGTTAAAGGAGTTAGACGCATGCGCATAATAGAGGATAATGAAAGGCATTCATTTTCACTCTCATTCAATTATGTATTCTCTGCCCTTTCCTCGCCGTTTTTAAAAATTTAAAATTAAAAAATAATGCTTAATCAAAAGTTTTTTTATTGCTAAACATTTTTTGGAATAAATAAAAACTTAAATCTCAAACTATCAGTCATTAATTTGATACCTTTTTACTTAATTTGATACCTTTTTTAACAAATAAAATCCCGCTCTATAAAATTTTAATATTAAAAATGAATTTCAGAAAATGTGGTTATTTTTATTATTTTTTGTTTTAAACACCTTGGATAAAAATGTTGAACCATTGTCCATATTTGTAAAGATATCATGGCGGGACATTAGTGAAAACAATTTTGAATACCCGCATCACTTGACAGATGAAACAAAGGAACGTTTCGACTTGAAATTAACAGGGAATTTACTGAGAGGTGGACAACTGTTTGTTGGAAAAACTGACGGATATGATAATTTTCATTTTACCCAACAAGATATTATTGAAGAACAGCTAGGAGGCAGTAAATATTTTCTGGAAATTTCGATTAATGGACACAATGTTCGTTTATACGAGTAGTTAATGCACCCCAAAAGTGACACCAAAAGTGACACCTGTCAATCAAACCTGTGCCTAAAGGGGGTTTTGAGCTGATTAATAGGTAATTTCTGTGCCTATAGGGCACTTTTTCTTTTGATTTGAGGTAATTAATAATGATTAATTAGGGTAATTAATCATGAATGATTAATTACCTTTTGACTGATATTTTGCGGGTATTTTAAGGGTATTGAAATACTGATATTTGTGACGGCTGAAGTTGCGGTAAATACAAAGGGGCTGAATCGAACTTTTAAAATTAATATTATCGAAAAGGAAGTGCGGTAAAATAAAAGAGCCAAAAGGATTTTGAGCGAAAGTGCTAAAATAAAAGAAGCTTAAATGTTTAGGGATTTCCTGCCATCTTTCTATCTCTGGAAGAGTAATTTATCATTTAAAATTAATTTATCATTATCATAATAGATTATTAAAAAAATATAAAACTTGCAGAACCTATTAAAATTTGTCATAAAAAGCTGTCATCAAGGATTAATACATTTTATAATAAAAAACTACTGGCTAAATGTTAAAATTTTTGATCATATTAATAACAATCCCGTCCTTATTGGCTGACACTTGGGACTCCAAACCCTACAAGAGAGAAGAGTATGTGGCAACAATACATAGGAGGACGCCACTGCCTATATGGCGGAGAACACCTCCATCAATATTTCCTAACAGAGATAAAAATACTTCAGAGGAAATACCAATTTGGCGGAAAACACCACCACCAATGGACGCTAAAACCGGGAAGAGAGAAGAATTAGTGACAACAATATATAGGAGGACGCCTATCCCAATATGGCGGAGAAAGCCGCCCCCAATATTTCTTAGCATAGATAAAAATAATTCAAGGGAACTTCAACGAGGCGATAAATTAAGTAATAAATCATTGAATAAAACTGATGACGAGAAAAAATTATCTATGAAATGGATAGTAAAGGATATCTATCATCTGAAGAAAAATAATTTAGCCAGACAAGTTGAAATAAAAAATATGGGACGCTGGATTCTACGTTGGGACCTTTGGGACAAGAAGTTCAAATTTGGAAAACATAATAAAACAGATTACTTAATGTATTCAAGATGGCGATTTTTATATGAACCTCCGATTTCAAATATTATAGATTTTTTCAAAAATTTGTAAAATTGTTTTAAAAAATTTTCTGTTTTATATATATATAATTTATAATTTATTTAATACGTGATAAAATTACAATTTTCACATTAACCCTGAATTTTTAAATAATAAATTATCTCAATTACAAGAAAATGATTAATCAAATTAGTTTTTATCAAACATATTCTAGAAACGATCTTAAGTTAAAATTACCATTTGGGTGTATTATTAGTGGGCCAAGTTCAAGTGGTAAAAGTACATTTGTTAAAAGTTTAATTGAAAATGCAAATGAAGTGATTGACCCAATTCCAAAATCAATTTTGTACTGTTACGGAGAATACAATTCCTTAGTTTCCGATTTGCAGAGAGAAGGAATAGCTGTTTATTCAGGAGTTCCACCAGAAGAGGTTATAAAAACTCAAGAAAAGCCATCACTCATAATTCTTGATGATCTACTTTATTCAATCGACGAAAAATATCTCTCAGAATTGTTTACAAAAAAGTCCCATCACCTAAATTTTGGCATTGTATTTGTCACCCAAAACTTATTTGAAAAGAAACTGCGTGTTGCTCGACAAAATTCAATGTATTTGGTTTTAACTAGAGCCCCAAACAGTGCTTTATCAGTTCGAAATTTGGGAGTACAATTATTTCCCGGTAAATTAGATTATTTTCTTGATTCGTATCGGCAAGCAACAAGAGAAAACTTTTCATATTTATTTATTGATCTTCATCCATCTTCTGACTCATCACTAAGACTAAGAACAAATATATTTGAATTTGCTTCACAGAAAAAAGATACGGATAATTTTGAAACTACAATATTTTTACCAAAATCAATCAATTTTTAAAATGATAAGTCAAATAGTAAAAAACAATTTTCATTTTCTTAAACAATTGGCAAAGACAAGATCATTACAAAAGAGGAAACGATTATTAAAACAAGCCACAATTGGACAATTAATCTCATTATCTGAAATTTGTCTAAACATCTTGAGAAATAAATTTCACCTGACAAAACGACAAAAAGGTCGATTAGTTCCATTCGCGGATTTTGTACGACGTATTGGCCGTGTAAGAACTGAACGCGGAGCACGAAAGCTTGTTATTCAAAAGGGAAACGGTCTTCCTCTAGGACTATTCCCAGCATTACTTACACCTATAATAATTGAACTTGCGAAAAATTTAACAACAAACAAAAATGGCCAATAAATTTCTTCTAGTACCAGAAGATATTTATCGCGGCTTACTGACACAGCCAGTTACTGAAACTGGGAACATAAATTTGGATTATACAAGGAAAAATTTGGACACAATTAAAAGACAGCGCGTGAATAATGAATTAAAAAATATAAATTACAACCAAGAACTGCGAAGATATTTACACATGTTAAAAGAACAGAATCAAACCCCAACAGGTGTGGCAGTTCGTCAACTTGATAATTCAGCACTCGATCAAATCAAGCAGTTGATACCACAAATTACTTCAAATCAAAATGAAAAACCATTGATAAATGAAAAAGAATTGGAAGAAATAAAAGAGGATGCTATGTATACAGCAGATGAGGGTAGTGATGTTGAGACTCCCAAGACTACAAGGACAACAAAATCGAAGTTAAATCAAAGGATTTATAAAATATATCATTTGATGAAGAATAATATTGATAAATATAATATAAATAAAGATGGCAAAATTTTAAATGAAGGGGGAACAAGGGAAATTCTCGGAAGTAATGTTCAAAAATCTCTTGATTGCATAATACGGTCAGATTTTACTGGTAAAAATAAATGGAATCAGCTTTCTCCTCCCGGAACTTCAATCCTAGAGAAGCGTTTGAAAAATGACCCAACAATGTGGGAACTAATTGAAAAAGCTAGGGTGCAAATTACACCAAAAAGAATCAATATATCAAAACAAAAATTATCTCAAATAAAAAAACCGAAACAATCATTATCCGAAGAATGGAGACTCCCAGCAGAGTGGAAGTGATACTAGACAAAATTTATAATGATCCAGCAAATCCTGCTGGGTTTGCCGGTGTTAATCAATTATTAATTGAGGCAAAGAAAAAAGATAAAAGAATTAGAAAGAAGGATGTAATAGAATATCTGGAAGGAAACCGGACATATACAATTCATCGGCCACGACGTGTAAGATTCAAAAGATCAAGAACTATACCCGCAGGGTATCTGACAGATGTTCAATGTGATTTGGCAGATTTTCAAAAACTGTCAAGGCAAAATAATGGTTATAATTATGCACTTGTTTCAATTGATGTTTTGAGTAAACGAGTCTTTGCTGAACCAGTACGAACCAAAAAGTCAAGGGACATGGTCCCAGCATTTGAAAATATTTTACAAAGAATGGAAATGCTACCCCACCGAATATTTAGTGACAAGGGAACAGAGTTTACAAGCAAAGAAATGATGGATTTTTTCAAACAGAAGGATATTGAGAAGTTCACACCTAATGCTTCAACAGTCAAAGCTTCTTTAGCTGAACGTTGTATTCGTAACATAAAACAAAGGCTTTATAGATACATGAGCGAAAAACATACTTTAAAATGGACAGAAGCTCTACATAAAATTGTGAATGCAATAAATCACTCAAAAAGTCGCGCACTAGGAGGCTTGAGACCTGTGGATATTAGTTTTAAAAATGCTCGAAAGATAAGGAAAAAATTTTATGGAAAAATAGGTGTCAACCCGAATAATAAGAAGACACGTTTCCAAAAAGATGATTACGTACGCATGAGTCGGAACAAGAATATTTTTTCAAAAGGATATCTTCCCAACTACTCTGATGAAATTCTCCAGGTTGATCTTGTAAAAAATAAGGCTAATCCCAACAGATATCGTGTTCGAGATGAAAAAGGAGAAAAATTTGAAGGATACTTTTACCCAGAGGAGCTAACAAAAGTAAGAAAGGATGATAATACGAGTTACAGAATTGAGAAACTCATACGTAAAAGAAATAAAAAAGATGGAAGTAAAGAATATCTTGTAAAATTTTTTGATTATCCCGACCCCGAATGGATTAATGAATCACAATTTGTTTAAAATATTTTCTTTGTTATTTATTGTAAATCATTATTGTAAATCATTTAATTTAAAATAATAAAATTTAATTTAAAAAATGGAAAATACTTTCTTTGTTGTATTACCCAGCAATGTCAGTGATTATTCAGACAATAAACCTAATAAATTTCGGTCACATTTGGCAAAACCTATCCAATTCCAAGGCGGGAATTGGGTCTGTGGTCTATATAGCATTCAATATCCTCAGTCTTGGGCTGCAACTATTGGCACCGACGTTAAACAGTGGATCGAAATTAATTACAAAAACAAAAAACCACATAGAATTGGAATTCCCAAAACAACACAGTTAACACCCAATGGACTCAGCTTTTTTTTAAAACTTGTATTATCCAATAAGGAAAAATCCAGGAAAAGACGTGATGTATTAATTGATACTTTAGAGGATGAAATTATTATTGACACCGAAATTAATTTAGTGGCGGACCCACTTAAGAAACGCAGAAAGAGAGTGGCAGACAAAGTAGATAGTGTGCCATTATGGGTAAAAGAATTTTTTAATCAGTATCCGCACAATTACTGGGAAGCCATACGCGATTATGAACAAGAATTAGAGCATCATAAAGTTAATGTAGAGGAAAAAACAAAACAAGTTCTTAATGAGGAGGATGATATACAGAAGGAAGAATTTCAACAAGAACTTGATCACCTAGAATCCCTTTCAGAAGGTAAAAAGAAGGAAATTCGTCTTTTAACAGAGGAAGCTAATAAAAGAGATAGGCGTGATGATCGGCTTATAGCAAATGAATTTTTTGAACAACACCCAGATGATTATCACGAGGAAGTAATAAAGATGGAGATAAATATAATAGTAAGATACATTGAACTAGAAGATAAAATTAAGGAGAGCAGGGAAGAGGGTGGTAAAAATGTTCGTTCTGGTGAAGAAATTCAAAGGTTTATTACTTCAATAAAGCGTATGCGAAAAAACTTGGAAGCATTGGAATCTGCAATAATTGAAAGAGAGTTGCAAATTAGTAAAGATGAATTTCATCAGCAAAATTCAAATACACATTCAGAATTTGTCCAAAAATTTTTTGACGACCACCCTCAAGATCATTGGGCATCATTAAAGAAAAATTTAAGTGATCTACAGGAATTACACAGACATATTAGAGAAAAAAGAGATTTACATTCACAAGAACAAGATGAAGATGAGAAGAATAAACTAAATAAGGAGATTGACCAGCTAAGTAAATTGGCTTCCTACAGAAGAAATAGATTTACAGCGAACATCATGCGGCCTACAAGAAATGGAAAAATTTTGAACTGCCAATTCCCCCAACTAGAAATGAAATTAAGGAGATGCAAAAAATTGAAGAGAAAACTCATCCCGAGTATTTGGAAGATGCCCTAAAGTTAGATGATCAAGGCAAACCTGTACCAATTCCTGCTCCCGAAATTACAGATGAAATGGTTGAAGTTGTCAAGGACAGACATGAATATGAGGAGGACAAGGCCAGAGAGTCTGAGGAAAATGAAAGAAAGGATAGAGAGCTTAAAGAAAGCAAGGAACAATTAAAGCATGCAAGAAGAATGGATAAATATGGGCAACCTATACCCCTTGAGCAACCAATAGATGAAGAGGAAGGTACAGTACCTGATGAGAAAAGTTTTGAAGAAGAAGAAGAAAGTTGGGAGGAGAAAAGTAGAGGAACTCCAGTTTTAGATTTAGATTCCTCAGTAGAAATTATACCAACAGAAAAGATATTTCATGAGAAAGAGGATGAACAAAATATTGATGATCTCATTAAAGAGAAGACAGTTACGATGATTGAAGAAAAGGAATCTCATCTAAAAGATTTACATTCGGACATTGAATTTGAATATTTGGACAGTATTGATCGTTTTAGGGTAGTTTTTAATGATCCTGAGATTAGCAATATAATTATATCTTCACAATTATGTTATGTTCTTGGCTTTCCCACGGGACCATTGGTAAACGGTCAAATTGGAAAATATGGAATTGATCTTAAAGGAGGATTCACAAGCTTTGCCGTTTATTCAAAAGGTTTAACGAGTACTGTAATAATGGGGAATTCTGTCAGTTCTTTACTTAGAATTGTGGCTGTTGAAAATAGGTCTGGCGGAGTTGTTGAACGAGTGTATGATCAACCAATGCTTATACCAGTGTTGCCTAGAGAGATTAATGAGATTGAAATTGAACTAAGATGGATGAATGGAAGTCTTGTGAAATTTGATCATGGAACAGTTATAGTGACATTAATTTTTAATAAAGTATTAAGATTTTAAATTGTAATTTTAATTCAAATACATTTCATAATTATTATTTTTTCATAATTCATAAATCATTGTTAAAAAAATTAAATTATTTTATTAATTGATAAACTTATTTTAAAAAATATGGTACATATTCCATTCGACACGAGAGAAGTAGGGTATGATGATCACCATAATTCCATACAAATTGGTGAAGGGGGAATTCAAAATGGAGATTCTTATCATTATTTTCGGGGCAATGTGCCATTTCAACGTGGATATGGAAGACAAACAGGAGGGGGTGTCGGCGATGTTCTAAGACATTTTTGGCGATTCCTGTTGCCGTATGCAAAACGAGCTGGAACAGCAGTAGCTAAGGAAGCACTAAATACTGGAGGAAGAATTTTAGAAAGAGTAGAAAATCCTCATACGCAGGAAACTGCAAACAATTTGAAGAATACTGTCATAGACGAAGGAAAACGTGGATTAGACAGACTGTTAGAGAAAGGAGGACTCCCAAAACAATTTGGCACGGGTGCCAGAAAAAACAGTATAAAAAGAGCAAAAACAAAAAGGAAAAATCATTCTCCATTTACAACAGAAAATAATAGTCAAATATTTGTAGGAAAAATCCCCTCAAACCATCAAAAAAAGAAAAGAAAGAAAATTGATACATTCGGATTATATTAAACAGAAAAAATGTCTACTCATAATAAAATTGATCGGGACTCTGCAAATGCAATTACAAATGCACTTTCATTTTTTGAAACTCCAAACACAAATGTCAGCGTTACTAGCTCTTCAGTAATTGAGCTTCTTACTCTTAACCCAATTAATATTACACCATATCATTTTAAAATCCACGCAAGCACTAATTATGTTGACCTAGCAAAATGTTATGTTTTAACCGAGTTAAGAATTCGAAAAGAAGATGAAAATGGACGTCTAACTAATCTGGAGGCTGCAGACAACAATGTTTCCTGTTGCCAACTTATTGGACATACAATTTGGAAAAATTGTCGTATTAGTATTAATGGAACTCAAATCTTTGAAGGAAATTCACTTATGGCATACAAAAGTATTTTTGACTATGAGCTTACTTATCCACAGACAGTAAAAAATTCTTACTTATCCGCCGCGGGATATTACGACGATGGTGATATGGGACTTAATGGTGTTGGTTTCGAGAATAGAAGACTTTTATTTGCACCATCAGCTGATGGCACACAAAGATCAGCACAATTTATGGCAAAATTAGATGTGGACATTTGCAATCAACCCCGATATCTAGTTAATCAGTGTGAAGTGGATATTGAACTTTTGCCACATGATTCAAATTTCCTCATTGTTGCTCCAGGAGCAACTAATCATAAATATCATTTAGAAGTACTTGCATGCAAATTATATATTAAGAAAATTGAACTTATGGACAGTCTTGCCTTCGATATAGCAAAGAAATTAGAATTGAAACCAGCACGATATCCGATGAGAAAAACTTCACTAAAATCACTATTCATAAGTGAGAGCCGAGCAGAATTTAATGCTAATCTATGGATGGATCAAGTACCGAGGAGGGTGGTCCTTGGAATGGTTAAGAATTCCGATTTTGTTGGATCCCAAAAAACAGCCTTTTAATTTTCAACATTTTAATTTACGAGATATATCAATTAATGC